TTGATAATTTTTCTTCTCCAAAGAATGTATTCTTTCTTGTTTATATGTTTAGTTCCCGCGTTTACTTTAAACCCATTCAAACTCTAACTCATAAATGCCAGAAATTGTCGAATGCAAATTTAGTAGCACTAATCCATATGGAGAAAATATGATAAAACTAAATAAATACTTACTCTTACTTGCTGCTTTACCGCTTTAACAAAGTGGCGCTGATGTCGGGGACAAACAATGTTGTTTTACTTTTGTTTCTTTAAGTTGGATGACTTTATTTGAGGACAAAGAATGTTTTAAGTTGTGGAGAGTTTGATTAGTGCTAAATTTTTGTGAATTTTAGTGTGAATAATTAACATTCATCGTCTTTTTTCGTTTGATTTTTTTCTATAAACTTCAACTTTAGTGTATATTCGATATAGTTTATTTATAGTGTATATATTGCGTTATCATGTAAATATCATTGAGTTTAATTGTTTTGTCTAATTTTTGTAGGTATTTGATAAATAATATTTAGGAATTTCAAGTTATATCATTGAACAAGCTTTCCAACACTTCAAACCGGCTATAAATCAGAGTTACAGTTCTCAAGTTTTGACGAAAATAAGTGCTGGATTTTTTAGACACAACAGGTTTGGCGCTAAAGCCCTCTGTGCTTGATTAGCGCACCCTGCAACTTCAAAACTAATTAAATAGGCCAAAGACATATTTTTAGGTTATGGGTTGTGTATTTTTGAGTCCCAACACCATCAACTTCATTTTTTTGGACTAGAGAAGTTAGAAAACTATAATGGGTCATGCATCTTGATGATTCGGAGTCGGATTTCTGATCAATCGATGTTGACAACCCGTGAGATGTTTGGTTTTTCTCCATTTCTTCTCTATGTATTTCTCTATTTGTTGGGTTATATTTTTTTATTTACTTTGGACATATATATATTTGTTGATCATGGTGTTGTATAAAGCTTGTTTTACAAATCGTTATTGATGTCTTCCATAATCTTTTTTCGTTATGTTTGGATTTGGGTTGTTATAGACATATACGTCACAAATCTTGATTGTGGATGGATATCTATTAGTTTATAGATTCTAGAAATAGATTTATATCTAACAATCATTGTGGGTATCAGACCTAATGCCTCCGTGTTTTTTATGTTATGCTGATATATCGTCAAAGCGAGTAATACAGTTGTCTCCAACTTTGTGTTAGGCATAACCTTTGTTGTGGAACATTTTGAGAGATACTTGATGATTTTCACGAGTATTGTAGGTTGTGTGAGACTGATCGAAAGGTTTAAGTTTATTTTGAGTAGTGTAAATTCATGCTTGATATGTTTTCTTCTCCAAAGAATGTATTCTTTCTTGTTTATGTGTTTAATTCTCGCATTTACTTTAATTCTCGCATTTGCTTGATGATTTTCACGAATATTGTAGGTTGAGTGAGACTGATCGATAGGTTTAAGTTTATTTTGAGTAGTGTAAATTCATGCTTGATAAGTTTTCTTCTCCAAAGAATGTATTCTTTCTTGTTGATATCTTCCTTAATCTTTTTGCTTTATGTTTTGATTTGTGTTGTTATACACATATACCTCACAAATTATGATTAGGGATGGATTTTGATTAGTCTCTAGATTTTAGATATAGATTTATAGATAATAATCAATATGGGTATCATACATAATGCCTCTGTGTTGTTTGTGTTGTGCTAATAGATCGTCAATGCGAGTAATACAGTTGTCTCCAACTTTGCGTTAGACATAACATGTGTTGTGGAACATTTCGAGAGATACTTGATTATTTTGACGAGTATTGTAGGTTGAGTGCCACTAATCGTTGGGTTTCGGTTTATTTTGATAAGTGAAATTCATCCTTGATAACTTTTCTTCTCCATAGATTGTATTTTTTTTCTTGTTTATGTGTTTAATTCCCGCCATTCAAACCCAAACCAATAAACACGAGAAATTTTCAAACAAAAATTTCGTAGAACTAATCCATGTGGAGACGATATGATAAAACTAAATATCTACTTACTTTTTCTTTCCGCTTTACCGCTTTAACAAAATGGCACCAATGTCGGGGACAAACAATGTTGTTTGACTTTTGTTTCTTTAGGTTGTATGACATTTTTTGATGACAAACAATGTTTTAAGTTGTCGAGAGTTTCATGAGTGCTTAATTGTTGTGAATTTGAGTGTGAATAATTAGCATTCATCGACTTATTTTGTTTTCTTTTTTCAATAAACCTAAACTTTAGTGTGTATTTGGTAAATTTTATTTATAGTGTATATATTGCGTTGTCGTATAAATATCATTGAGTTTAATTGTTTTGTATAATTTTGTATGTATTTTATCAATGATATTTATGCATTTCAAGATATATCATTGAATAAGATTTCCAACGCTTCAAACCGGGTGTAAGTCTAAGTTACGATTCCCAAGTTATAACGAAAACAAGTGCTGGATTTTTTCAACACAGCAGGTTTGACACAAAGCACCCTCTGTGTGCGCTTAGAGAAAACACATATTTAGGTTTTGGGTTGGGTATTTTTAATTCCCAACACCATGAACTTCATTTTTTGTCTAGAGAAGCTACAAAACAAGATTGGATCATGCATCTTGTTGATTCAGAGTTGGATTTCTCATCAATCGGCGCTGAGAACTCGTGAGATGTTTGGTTTTTCTCCATTTATTCTCTATGTATTTATCTATTTTTTGGGTTATGTTTGTATATTAACTTTTAACATATGTATAATTTTTTATCATGGTGTTGTATAAAGCTTGCTTCTCAAATCACTGTTCATATCTTCATTATCTTTTTGCTTTATGTTTGGATATTGGTTGTTATAGACATATACCTCACAAATCTTGATTACGGATGGATATCATTTAGTTTCTAGATTCTAGAGATAGATTAAGAGCTAATAGTCACTTTGGGTATCAGAGCTTAATGCCTCTGTGTTGTTTGTGTTGTGCTCAGAGATTGTAATTGCAAGAAATATGGTTGTCTCTAACTTTGTGTTAGACATAACCTATTTTATGGAACATTTCAAGAGATACTTGATGATTTTGAAGAGTATTTTTGGTTGAATACGACTGGTCGATATGTTTAAGTTTGTTTTGAGTAGTGTAAATTAATGCTTGATAAGTTTTCTTCTCCAAAGAATGTATTCTTTCTTGTTTATGTATTTAATTCCCGCATTTACTTTAAACCCATTTAAACCCAAACTAATAAACGTGAGAAAATGTTGAATGTAAATTCAGCAGCACTAATCCAAGTGGATACGATATGATAAAACTAAATAAATACTTACTTTTGGTTGCCGCTTTACCATTTTAAAAAAATGTCGCCGATGTCGGGGACAAACAATTTTATTTAACTTTTGTTTGTTGAAGTTGTATGACTTTGTTTGATGACAAACAATGTTTTAAGTTGTGAAGAGTTTGATGAGTTCTAAATTGTTGTGAATTTGAGTGTGAATAATTAGCATTCATCGGCTTATTTCGTTTGCTTTTTTTCAATAAACCTCAACTTTAGTGTACATTCGGTATAGTTTATTTATAGTGTATATATTATGTTATGGTGTAAATATCATTGAGTTTAATTGTTTTCTATAATTTTTATAGGTATTTAATCAATGATATTTAGGCATTTCAAGATAGATCATTGAATAAGTTTCCAACGCTTCGAACTGGGAGTAAATCTAAGTTATGGTTCTCAAGTTATGACAAAAACAAGTGCTAAGATTTTTTTAACACAACAAGTTTGGAGCAAAGGGCCCTTTGTGCGCTCTTAGCGCGCTCTTGGACTTTAGAACTCATTAAATAGACCAAAAATACATTTTTAGATGTTGGTTTGGGTATTTTTGAGTCCCAACACCATCAACTTCATTTTCTTTTGTCTAGAGAAGCTAGAAAACAAGAATGGATTATTCATCTTGAGGATTCAGAGTCCGATTTCTCAATAGTCGGCGCTGATAACCCGTGAGATGTTTGATTTTTTTCCATTTCTTCTCTATTTATTTCTCTATATTTTGGGTTATATTGGTATATTTACTTTGAAAATAGGTATATTTGTTGATCATGGTGTTGTATAAAGCTTGCTTTACAAATAATTATTGATGTCTTCCTTAATCTTTTTGCTTTATGTTTAGATTAGGGTTATTATAGACATATACCTCACAAATCTTAATTAGGAATGAATATCTATTAGTTTCTAGATTCTAGAAATATATTTAGAGCTAATCATCATTGTGGGTATCAGAGCTTAATGACTTCGTGTTGTTTGTGTTATGCTGGGAGATTGTAAACACGAGTAATACGGTTGTCTCCAACTTTGTGTTAGACATAACCTATGTTGTGAAACATTTCGAGAGATACTTGATGATTTGGACGAGTATTATAGGTAGAGTGCGACTGATCGATAGGTTTAAGTTTGTTTTGATTAGTTTAAGTTCATGCTTGATTATTTTTCTTCTCCAAAGAATGAATTCTTTTTTGTTTTTGTGTTTAATTCCACCATTTACTTTTAACCCCTTCAAACCCAAAATCATAAACGTGATAAATTGTTGAACGACAATTAAGTAGCATTAAATCATGTGGAGATGATATGATAAGACTAAATAAATACTTCCTTTTCTTTCCGCTTTATCGCTTCAACAAAATGGCACCGATGTCGGGGACAAACAATGTTGTTTGACTTTTGTTTCTTTAAGTTGTATTACTTTGTTTAAGGACAAACAATGTTTTAAGTTATCGAGAGTTTCATGAGTGCTTAATTGTTGTGAATTTGAGTGTGAATAATTGTTGTACCCCTATTTTTGACCTAAGATCCCATTTTTATTTTTTGCATTTTTAAGATAAGTCAAGGTCACGAAATACGGTCGGTTTTAACGTCTCACCTTCGAGCTTTGACTATGCGAAGATTGTCAAGTGTTTTGAACATTTTTAGCCTATGTATCACTAATTTCTAATCGCATACGAAGGTGTATGTTCATGTTTTCTTTTGTGTCATGTGCAGAGACAGGTCTGAATCGAGAGCATCAGGTGTCGCACCTCAATTAAGGTTTTGGGTCTCCCAAGCCAGAAGTACGATTGATTGTGGATTCTCGAAGACTGATTCATCAAGGCACAACTGTTGCACCCTAAATGTCGCCCCTAATTTTTTCAGTCGCACATTCATACCATATTTTGTCATTTGGTCACGATCATTAGTAAATATCTTCATTCATCATATTTTGCATCATTAGTCGTATTTAAGTTGACCAGAAAAAAGTCAGTTTAAATCAAAGTTTGTATCGTCTTTCAGTTGTAAAATACCCGGCATTTTGATTCATGCATTTTTATCTATTTACTCATTTGTTGCATTGCTCCAAGTTGTTTATATGTCGATAATAAAAATATTTTGGTTTTATAGACAAACTGTTAAAAGCGATTCAACAATGTACGAAAAATTAGTGAGAAAAATATTTCAAGTTTTCACCTTTTTACCGATCATTTTATGAATCTGTGCTTCGCGTAGATTATGACGGTATGCTTGCTTTATTTTTTCGGTACAGTTCGAGGTCTCATTTTTAACCTTAAACGTCTGTTTAGTCGGATATTTTTATTACTATTTTATTTTTGAATTTTTGACTTCTTGAATATTTTTTCTTTAATCTTTGTGACATGTAGATTATTTTAATGTGTTCATTTTATTTTTTCGGATAAATTTGCGTCCGTTTTTTTTATCATTTTAGGTCATTTTGGGTCTTTATATTTTATTCATAAAATATTCAAAAAATCATTTTAAATTGAGTTAATTTTAATACATTTAGTTTTTTGGTTATTTTTATCATTTAAGGGCTATTTGGTCACAAAAAATATTATTTACACTGTGCTTGATTCCTATTGGTTACTAACAAAAGTTACGGATCAATAAGTTGAATTTATTTTGGACGGATCAGATTAAATCTGAAAACAATATTCCTTTTCATTTTCTCTATTTAAGAATCTTCATGTTCTTTGTAACAAGGGAGGAGACACAAACCAAAAATGAAAAAAAAGAAATACAGTAATCATAAAACACCTCTCTCTCACTCACTCTATTTCAAGTTTCTATATTATTCTCTTCTCATTTTCTTCTCTCTCTGATACAACATTACAAATGCACGATCCCATTTTGTTGTTTTCATTCATTCTTCTTTTCATCATTTTCATATCATCCTTAATTTCTCTCCGTAAAACACTTCTCAAAAACTCAAAACCCATCTTGACCCGCAACCCGAAAACACCCATACCCTCAAAAAGCTCCAAAAAAAAAACGTTCCTACTGCATCTCAAGTCACCGGGCCATTGCAATCGTCAACTGCTTTTGTTGACCCACCATACATTTATAGCACAGATTCATCATCTGTGCTTGGAACACCAGTTACTAGTCTGCCTTTGTCATCTTGGAATTATAATGCTAAACCACCAGCCAGTGTGCCACAACTGACTACAGATCACACGGGATGGACTGGATCTGGACAAGCTGCTCCTCTTAATTGTTGCAATAGCAGCAGTAATGACAGCACTCACCTTGCTTTGCCAAGTAGTAAAGGGATTAATCAAGGCAATGTGGGCAAGCCAGTTCATGTCATGCCAGATTTTGCACAAGTATACCACTTCATTGGCAGTGTATTTGATCCAAATTCAACAAATCACCTACAGAGGTTAAAGCCGATGGTCCCATGCCTCAAACTAAAGAGCACATCCTTCTCGCCAAACAGGTTGGTGTTCCGAGTGTGGTTGTGTTTTTGAACAAGCAGGACCAAGTGGACGATGAGGAGCTTCTTGAACTAGTGGAGCTTGAAGTTCGGGAGCTTCTCACATCTTATGAGTTTCCTGGAGATGACATTCTGATTATCTCTGGTTCAGCGCTATTGGCATTGGAAGCGTTAATGGCAAACCCTGCCCTGAAACGTGGGGATAACCAGTGGGTGGATAAGATTTACCAGCTTATGGATGAAGTTGATAAGTATATTCCGATTCCTCAACGTCAGGTGGAACTCCCCTTTTTGCTTGCCATTGAGGATGTGTTTTCAATCACCGGTCGTGGAACAGTTGCCACTGGGAGAATTGAAAGAGGGACTGTTAAAGTTGGGGATGTTGTTGACCTTGTTGGTTTGAGGGAAACAAGGAACACTACAGTGACTGGTGTAGAAATGTTCCAGAAGATTTTGGATGATGCTATGGCTGGTGACAATGTGGGGTTGTTGTTGAGAGGAATTCAAAAGATCGATATTCAAAGAGGGATGGTTTTGGCTAAGCCGGGAACTATTACTCCTCACTCTAAGTTTAGTGCTATTGTGTATGTTTTAAAGAAGGAAGAAGGTGGAAGACACTCGCCGTTCTTTGCCGGTTATAGGCCTCAATTTTACATGAGGACTACAGATGTTATTGGAAAAGTTACATCTATTATGAATGACAAGGATGAGGAGTCGAAGATGGTGATGCCCGGTGATCGTGTGAAGATTGTGGTGGAACTCATTGTTGCCGTGGCTATTGAACAAGGAATGAGGTTTGCTATTAGAGAAGGAGGGAAGACTGTTGGAGCTGGTGTTATCGGAGCTATCATTGAGTAATGAAGATTTCTATCCAACGATGCACCAGCGCCATCAGTACCTTTCATCAAATACATTATAAGTCAACACCAGATCGTACGATGAGATTCATTCTTGGAATCAACACACTTCCAACTTGCCACACTGGATATCACGGAGCTCTTAATGGGTGGAAGAGTTTCTATCCTCACCCCCAACAATTACGGTTTGTTTGGCCCATTTACTCATTTTATTTTCTATGTTTTTTTTTATTATTTATTTTGCTATTTGTTTTTTTTAAATATTATAAAATACAAAAAATACATGCTTTTCAAATTAGTCTTTTATTTAATTTTTTATTTATTTAATTGTTCAAAAATACATGCTAGTATAAATTAGTTATTTACTTAATTATTCAATTGTCATTCCAATTAACTTTATTCTCAATCATTTAATCTTTTTTTTCGTTCGTCTAAACTCCAAGGGAAAGAATTGATTTGTTGACTGCATGTCATCGAGTATCTAATACGATTGTGTGGACCCCTTCATACATTTTTAATTTTGTAAATCTTAAGTTAAATCTCCTCAAAACCTGATTCTAAACATACACTCTTTTAAACCAAAACTTCGACACGAGGTCGTCGCATCTTCAAAATCTCTCCAACACCGATTTTTAGCCAAACGAACCATTTTAATCAAACAAACAATTTTAAACCAAAAAACAGATATTTCAAAAGGTTCCTGCGGAGTACCGCAGATGCATTGGGTGCTAATACCTTCCCATTGTATAACCAACCCCCGAACTCTCGATCTCTTTTCAAAACGCATCGTATTTTCATTACTTTTAAGTATTATTATACATTGCATATTTTAGGGTTTTATTTCGCTCTTTTCCCTTTTCCCTTGGAAATAATAAAGCGCAGTGGCGACTCTTGCTTTTGCGAGTCAAGTTAATTAATAGCTTGATCTCCGATTTTCACCGCTACAGAATTGGCGACTCTGCTGGGGACAGATTGACCTCTTGCTGGTCCATCCCTAAGTGGGTTAAGCCTAATTTGTTTTATCTGTTTTATCATTATTTGATTGTTTGATTATATGTATATATTGTGATTATTTGGGTGTTGATAATATTTACAAAGGACAAGTCATATACCCGGACTAAGTTACACTTAGGAATAGGACGGGCGGTATAGTCATGTTAACTTTGAGGGAGTAATCCCGAAGAAGGAGGCATGAGATCCCCCACTCAGTGGAAGGCCCTTTTGAACGTAATACTTGTTTACCGAGTAATCGGGAAGACATTATTATTTTCGACCTGGGAGCCAGAGAAGCTGGGAACCGTAGAACCCTAACCCATCTTGGCCTTTTAGGTGTAGCGCGGAGATTATAACGGAGTAATCCGGAAGTAATTTTTACGCGATGCTACGCTCGGATGAGTTTCTCTTGAGAATATTGCTGATTATTGAGTAATCAAGACGTTGGTAATATCCGAAGGAGGAATGTAGACTCCGGGAACTCTTAGAACCTCGTTCTACAGGTGTGATTAAACCGTTAGTACATACTTTGGGGGTGTTCCTTACCTTGACTCCATGCTCGTGACGTTGAACCTTTCAACTTTATCTGTGACCTTGCTTGTGGTTGTTGTATAGCCATGCATTCATGCATCCATAAAACCCTTTTCACTTGACTTTGAAGGAATTTGGAGGTCTTTCTTTGTAAACATCACAAGTTTCGTCAAGCTCAATGGATCTTGGGTGTTGATAGGGCGAAAACCCTAATCCACCAAAATGGATGATTGATCTTGATGATAACTTGATCAACGCTTTGATCCAGTTCAAAATTCATCTTCTATCTTCACGCTTTGATGTTTACAACTTAATATCTTGAGTTCCTTGAAAATCAAATAAAAACTCTCTTTTGCATATCATACATCATTCTACATTTTTTTGTTTCACTTTCAAAGGTCTTTTTTCGAGTCTTATTTTTCCTATGGTCTCACCAGTACAACACTCACGCTAAGAGAACAATGGAGAATATCAAGCAAGAGGTTTCTGAACTCCGTAGAGAGATGACTATTTTGAAAGCTGGTATGGATCATTCAACTGTTTTGGTTGAAATTTTGGTTGCCTCCCAAATCAATCCTTCTAGGAGGGAGGAAGCGATGATAAAAGTATTCACTGAAACTCTAAAATCATTCTCTCATGAGAAGGTGATGGTTAATGCACCTAATGACCTTCCTGACAAGGTGAATGTGGGAGTGCGTCTAGAAGAAGATGTCGGAAAGGGATGTTCATATGAAGATGGTAGCTCAGCTAATGGTGTGAAGAAGTTTGATAATAACTTTTCCAAGAAGAGAACCATAGGAAGAAATATTCATCGTCAGAATCATCATGTTTCTCCTATTCATCAATAAAATCAGCAAGTTCCTAATCAGAGGAAAACCCAGTTTGATTCAATTCCAATTACCTATACAGAGTTGTTCCCTATCCTGATGCAGAGGAATTTGGTTCAGACCCGACCTCCACCGAAGGTTCCTGAGAAGATACATTGGTACTACAAAGCTGATTTGGCTTGTACTTTTCATCAAGGTGCTCCTGGGCATGACTTGGAGGGTTGCTTTGCTTTGAAGGTTGAGGTTCAGAAGTGGTATCTTGTCATTCAAGGACGTTGGTTTTGAAGTTCAAATCAAGCATGCGCCGAAGAGTAAACACGATTGATGGTCACTTTGAGTTTCGAAGGATGTTTTCGGTAATTCAAGTCCAGATGGAAAGCCTTCCCAGATTATTAACTTATTTATGCTTTTTGTAATTTTTCTTGTTTATCAAAACATTGTTTGCATGTAAGAACTTGTTTGCATCTGTATGATTATCTTAATACAATGAGTATGCTTGTCTTGAAGAAATTCATTCGTTTCACTCATATTTGTTTTCAAATTTTAAATTGCTTTTGCACTATGATACCAACTTGTTGCCTATTCTCTTGCCTAGGCAGAGATTGACGGGAGGATGATGATCTAAAGAACACAAAATCTCTGGTTACATGCTTTTGGATAAAATCTTGATGATGATGTACAGGCATTGTTTCAAATCCCTAAACACTGGAGATATAAGGAAGATAATCCCTTGCTAACCCCTTTTGAGCCTTTGAAGCAGAAGTTTCTTTTCTATACGAAAAAACCTTGAATTTTAACCTGGGGCAGGGTAGTTTTTAGTTAATCTGACTGAGTGTTCGAAATTCATAAGGAAGATGTTTTTTGAAGAGAAACTACGAGGGCTATCTTTCATGTATAATGAAGCCAGAAGATGTGGAACCATAATGTTATCCCTCATTCATCAAGAAACGAGGCAATCACAATCCTCTCAACAAGCAAAGACAAGCTAATGTCACACATTTTGTTCAAAAAGTCAAAAATCGAGAAAAAGAAAAAGCCTGCTAAGTCAAAAAACATGAAAACGTGTGACTTAGGCAAAATTAAGGCATCCCGCTGGACTATCAATTCAAAAGAATTAATCCAGGCAAAAGTTAGGGAAGATAAAAATTGCAAAGAAAAGGGACTGCAAAGAAATGACCTCAGCAAAGAACAAATTGGTGACTACAAACACGAAGACATGAGGGTGGTTTCTACTCCGAAAGCCTCGTCGTTTCCTTGACCGTCACAAAATCCTTTTGAGAGATGAACACTCATGTTGAATTAACTGAACATACGGTTGGAGAACATCATGAAGGGGGTGGGCACCAAATATTTTGAGCCTTAAATCTTTTTTTCTAAAAACCATGAACCAGACCACGTTACAACCTTCAAAAGTCCTAATTGAAGCAAGGTTATTTTGAAAGCATACTTCAATGAGATAGTGTTCCTGACTCCCATGAATGTTCTAAATAGTTATGTTGGTATCATATGTTTTTCCTACACAAAAATAAATGGTGCTCTAACTCGCAAAATTTGTGCGATATCTTTTCAAAATCTTCAAGACTTACATAACTGTTGCATTAGAATTTTCATTCTCATAATAAAATTTTCTAACTGCAAAACATTTGTTTGATATCAAGAAAACTCACATATAAGCACCAGTGATGAGTTTATTCTTGTAAGGCCTGAAACTATGTTGAGTAATTGGCGGATCACGTCAAGAAAAAATCATATCCATGGGCATGTCACCTAAAGACCGTAAACACGAACATGTTGCTTCTCCTAGTTAATGCTTTCCCAACTTGTTTACTCTTTTGGGGCAAAATTTGAAGACTTTGTTGTGCCAACTACAGTCAATCCGGGGCAATCACGTCGAGATTTGATGAATCTCTCTAAGAGTTTGAAGACACTAGAGCATGGTGAATGCCAGGTCTTTTGTAAAATCCTCTTGAGACGATTTCTCCTCATCAACCAGATAGCTTGGGGCATGTTAGAAGTGAAGCTATTCGCAAGAATCGTCGTGCAACATGCAGCTCATCAGCAGTAAACTTGGGGCATCCAAAATTAATCCCAGGGGCAATCCAGATTTGTCAAGATATGTTTTTCATACATTATCAGAGGGTGGTGTTCCCAGTATCTCCAGCTAAGCAAGACTTCTTTCCAGCTGAAACTTTGTTTGTGTTGTTATCCTTTCAAGGGATTGTCAGTGATAGAAGACTGAACTTTGGGCTTTCTACCGAAAAATATCTTCCTCTCCAAAAATATTTAAGCCTTGTAAAAGGACTTTGCTCCAATGATGGCTTTTGTTTTTATCTCCAGTAATGTTCCCATCCTGTTGAGATTAGCCGAGTGTCGAGCTGTACTATGACGTCTTATCATCTTCAGTTTATCTCCCCTGTCTGTTTTGTCACCATATACATGACATTCATTTATTCATTCACACTTTCATCATGCACGCACAGTTGTATTTGTTGATATCTTTGAGTTCGTATACCTTGGTTATGTCTATTCAAATAGTGTATTTGATCTTTCCAAATAGAGTGTCAACTTAAGCAGAAAGTGCGCCTCCTTTCTCATTCCCCACTGAGTTAACTCTCGTGGAAGAATCTTGCTTTAGCTTTCCTTTTCTATC